TCCCTGACTGACTGACCAACCTTTGACTGACCAAGTGGAAGGCTCCCTGCCTGACCCCTGACTGACTGCCTGACCAAGGGGTGGGTTCCCTCACTGACCGACCAACCCCTGACTGACTCACTGATCAAGTGGCAGGTTCCCTGACTGACTGACCAACCTTTGACTGACCAAGTGGAAGGCTCCCTGCCTGACCCCTGACTGACTGCCTGACCAAGGGGTGGGTTCCCTCACTGACCGACCAACCCCTGACTGACTCACTGATCAAGTGGCAGGTTCCCTGACTGACTGACCAACCTCTGACTGACTGACTAAGTGGTGGGTTCCCTGACTGACCAACCAACCCCCAACTGACTAACTGACCAAGTGGAAGGTTCCCTGACTGACTGACCAAGGAGTGGGTTCCCTGACCGACCAGCCAACCCCTGACTGCCTGGCCCGGTGCCCCTGTCCCCGCAGCTCCTGAGCAAGGCCTACGCCGTGCTGAGCGACGCGGAGCAGCGGGCTGTGTATGATGAGCAGGGCACGGTGGACGAGGAGGGTGAGGTGCTGGGCGGCGAGCGGGACTGGCTGGAGTACTGGAGGCTGCTCTTCAAGAAGGTGAGGGCTGGGGCTGGGAAACACCCTTTTTGGGGAGGGGGGAAAAGCCACCTCGTCTTGAGTTGTAACAGCGTCTCCCTGAAGAGTTCTGTGTAAAACACCGGCTTTTTTAATGCTGTCTCTTAAGCCCTGCTGGTGACTGAATCCAGTCGCTCACAAAGTGTCACCTCTTTGCCTCAGATCACAACAAAGGACATTGAAGACTTTGAGAAGAACTACAAAAATTCGGAAGAAGAGCTGGCTGATATTAAAGCTGCCTACGTGGATTCTGAGGGGGACATGGACAGGATCATGGACTCCCTGTTGTGTGTGGACTATACGGATGAACCCAGAATTCGGGAGGTCATAGAAAAAGCCATCGAGTCTGGAGAAGTCCCCTCCTACAAGGCTTTTGTAAAGGAGTCTAAGCAGAAAAAGATGGCAAGGAAAAGGCGGGTAAGTTTCATCAACCAGTGGCCGAACAGGAGTATTGTTTATAATATGCTTTTTAATCTCCCCCAGTAGAAATAACTGAAACTGTTGTTAAGACAGTTAATGTTTGTCTGGGTTGTAGGCTTTGCTCAGGATGTTTTGACTTTCACATTTGGTCGTTCTCCATCCCCCCCAGGCTGCTGTGGAAGTCTTCTGAGTTGTAAAACGCTGTTTTGCATGTTACTTCTTCATTTCACTATTACACAGAATGGCTTATTCCAGCTTAGTGTACATCCCTGCATCTGTTTGCAAAGCTGTGAGTTGCTGGAGTTTACAAGTGTACACGGGGTGGAAATACGTTGTGCTTGCCCTTTGGCTAGTGTGAAGTAACATTCTGGACTAAACAGACCTCTTCTCTAATGCTTTATTTTTAGACACTGCAGAGTATGTTCTGTGCACTTCACAGTCACCTTTCTCCAAGAAAATGTAATAATTGCTGGGATAAAAAAAAACGTGTGTGGGATGGGTGGAGGGATGGGGATGAGCCTCTTGAGATGTTCAGCATGTGCAGCAGCAAAAAGCTGCCCTGCTCTACCAAACTGAGGAACCAGAATGGGCTCCCAGTGGCCAAACTGGGAAGCAGAGGTTGTTTCCTTGCAGCTATTTATGTGTTAAAAAGTGATGGGCAACTGTTCTAAGACTTTGTCAAATGCTATGCAGAATACTTTTCTAAAACATAGTTGCCTCTTTTAGGCAGAAAGAGAAGCTAAGGAAGCCGAAGCAACTAAAGAAGAACTGGGCCTTGGTGATGAAGATGACTTGAAAGCACTGATTCAGGTAAGGCTTTTTGTCTCTGTTGAACATAATTTGTATTCCTGGCTTCTAATTGTGGTTCCCTGAGAATCTTTGTGTTTGGGATGCTTGCAACTCTTCTGACCATAAAAGCTTCCTGAGGTTAAAATGTGACCTTAATATTGCTTATCTGTGTATGTTGATAAATAGCCAGGGAATGGATTTTATTACCTGTGTCTTTTTAAAAATGGGTGAAGTCAAAGACATTCTTAACCTCACTGCACACACACAAAATATTTAACTTCCAGTTTGAGGCAGTTAGGGAGCATTAATGACTCTTTCTGGGCATTCCATGAGAATATAGAAGTTAAAAGGCATTTTGTTTAGACTTACGTGGGGAAGAACTGTTTCCCATATCAGGTCTTGGGAACCAAGGAGAGTAACCCAAACTGTTTACATTCTTTTTTTCAGAGCTTTTCCTGTTTATTTCTTCCTCAAATGTTCATGTATGCTCATGCTTAATTATTCCTCAAATTGTAATAAAATTTTTGGGTCTAAACTAGAAATTGTTTTGCTTTTCCCGGCCTTAGGTTGCCAGTTTTTATAGCCATTGGATACTTCAGGAAGTTTTGTATAGAGCTGAGTGTACAAGTAGGCTTTTGCTCAATGGTGTTATACTTTCTGTAGCTTGTATTCCCTGCTTAATATATGCCAAGGTTTTTTGCAGCTATCATAACTTACTGGGAATCAGTAAAACCTTTGGTTTTGTAAGGTTTTTCTCCCTCCCCTAGAGCCGAAATCAAGATCGCAAAAAGAAAATGGATGACTTTTTGGCCCAAATGGAAGCAAAATATGGGAACAGTGCTAAAAAAGGAGCAAAGAAGACTGCAGGCAAGAAAGGAAAGAAATAAAGAACGGTGAAGGTATCATTTTGGTTGGGAAGATGTAGATTTGGGGGGAATTTCAGAGTTTTTCTGGACTACCATTTCAGAGCATGTGTGTGTCACCCTGCTGTGACAGGGAGGTGTGAAAGCATGTTATGAACAAGACAGCATTTTGGTGCTGCTGTTCAGAATCCTCTTGGGTGCTCTTCAGTTCAGATCCAACAGATTCCTGACTAAAAGCTTTGTTAACAGTAAGGATGTTTGGGAGTGTGGTGTGTTTATGAAACTTGTGTTGAAGCACCTTCTTTCCAGACACCTTTGGTACAGCTGATGGTAAAACAACATAACCCCACACCTTTTGAGAGTTTTCAATGCTGGTTTCTGAGTTGGAAACCTTATATTTTGGGCTGTTCAGAATTTTCTCTTGTAAAAGACACCTGCTGTTTTTAAAGGTCTTTGCACTTCAGCTGGAACAGGCGTTTCTCAGATATTCCAGTGCTTTTATAAAGATACTTTGGAAAACTGCAGATTTAATAAAGGAAATGTTTGATTTTTTCATATAATTCTGTGCCATGTTGTTTCTCCAGTCCTCTCTACCTTTTCCAAGTTGCTGTTTAAAACAAGTTGACCCTCCTGATGGAATTAAGTCAAGTAAATACTACATAACTTCAGTACCAGCTGCAATGAAACTGTGACTGTTAACTGTGGTGTCAGTGCTGGTGATGCTGTGTGAGAAGAAAGGGCTGCCTAGTTTGGTCTCCAACTGCCTGTGGAAAAAACATGAGCCTGCAGCACATGCCTCTGCAGAAATTCTCTAGTACATAGGTGAGCTTAATCAACTTGAAAAATCCACAGAACAGAGTCTGTTCTGTTCATTTCTAGGGTTTGTGATGTCCCATGACAAGGAATTAAAATGTATTGTTATTTCAGTAGCATCTCAGCCAAGCCTGCTGCAGGACAGCAGTGATTCGCTGCTTCCTTGTGTTTGTCAACTCTTCTGTGATTTCAGCAGTTAATTAAATCAGGAAGATCCACAAATACTTTGAAGGTTTTTACTTCAGCAAGTGTTAAATTGGTTTAAACTTGATGTGCATGGGTATGAATTTTGAAGGGCAAGGAGTTCTCAGCTGGCTCTGTAGCTCAAAGACTTGAGGTTGGCTTTATTTTGTAGCTCGTTTTTCAAAGGCTAATGAGCCATGAGGTGAAGAGTTACTGTTGGGGTGAAGGTTCTCATTGCATCAGGAACTGACTAGTTTTAAGGGCTACCTGGGAGGAACCTAGAGGTAGATGGTAACTCTGTTGCCATTTACTTGGGTGCTTGCAAAAGTTATCCTGCTTTTGAGAGTACAGCATATTGTTCTGTTGCACAACACCAGGCTTGAACGTGACTTTTGCTACACAAAATAGATCCCTGACAGCCCAGGAGAAACCTCTGGTGTAACCATTTGTACAGAAATGAAAAATTACCTTTCCATGAGACTGCTTTCACTTTTTAAACAGACCAGCTCTATAAACTACTACCTTATGTTACCAGAAACCTGTTCCAGTTTATTTGCATATCGTTGCAACTCATGCAGCAGGGGTACAGAAAACTAACTTGGTCCCTGAGGAATGGCACTGATACAAACAGGGTGCTTATCTTCAGTTAGCCTGAGATAACTAAATGACACACTGTACAATGTGCCAGTAGGCTTTGCTGCTGTTAAAATACATTGTATTTTGAAAGGATTTAGTGAATAGATACCTCTCTTTTAGCATCAGTTTGTCTCTGTGCAAACTTAAGTGGGTTAACTTGAGCCCAGAATTCTTTATTCCCTCTAGAAATGCAAAGGAAAGTTAACCCAGTTCCATTTGCACAGTTCTGCTTTGCTTTCTTCTCCCTCCTTGGTGAGAGGATGTTTGGATCAGCTGGACCCAGGGCCTTAAATATTGATTTAAAATGATGAGCTGTTCTGTGCATGCCACTAACATTTCATAGACTGCATAACTTAGGGGAAATAGAGCAGCCTCCATAAAGAATACTGACAAGTTTCTTCCAGTTGGAAGCTATAAGGAAATGTAGCAAAACTCTTTAAGTGGAGTATAAAGGAACAACTGTTTTTGTGTCCTAACTTTGTTGAAGTACAGTAAGTTCTTATCCTCACCTTGTTTTTTACACTTGTAGCCTGGTGCTTACTGCTTGGGAGTAAGACCTTCAAGTAATCATTTATTTTGAGAAGCCTGTATTTGATGTTTTTGCCTTTGGAGCCACAAGGGCAACTGAAGGGAGTATCTCTGGTGTTCACACGGTGCAGAACACATTGCATCTGTGGGTTGTGGAACTTCATGGCAGGGTGCAGGGATCAGGTAGAGTTAGTTGCAGGTGTTTCTAGGGAGGGAGACTGACCTCTTCTGTGAAACTACCATAGCGTAGCTCCCCAGGAAGACATACTGTCTGGAACTACTTGCATTCAAGGACTCATTTTTGCCTCTTAAACCTTTGTCTGAGGAAGGGGTGGATAAGTCGGGTGTGCTACTCATGAAGCTCTCAATTCTGTTCTGGTTTGCTACCATATTTTGATACAACTGTGTTAATACCTGCTGCAAATTACTACAGGATTCATAGCTTGTCTGAGCTGTAGAAGCACTATCAGGTGCAGTGCTTGCTTTTGAAGTACAATATTGCTTTGAACATATAAATATCCTTTACATATTTAAATTACTACTGCTAAGGAAGGTGGGGTTCATCTTCTGTAGAGCTAAGGGTAAAACCAGCAGGTCCTGCAGTACCTGCCCATAACAACATGAACCAGTCACAAGCCAGTAGTGGTAAAACCAGCAAGGTCTGAGAAGGTTTGCTAGCTATTTTTTTCAGGAGTTAGGCTTCACTCTTCACTGGATTATACTGACCCTTCCACTGGAGTATAACTTTTTCTACTGGCAGGAAACGGAACATTTAACTGTACCCTTTCTAATCTTTGGCAGCTGCTGCTTAGGTTTATATAAAAATAACTATCCACAGGGCAGGGTGTTTGAGAACTCTCTGTAAACAATGTTGACATTGCTGAGAATGAGAGGTGGTCCATGACTCTCTGGAGATGGACAGACACTTCTTCTGGGCATGTCAGAACCCTTGTTTGCTTTTTGTCACTGATCCACTTCGTCTGTGGCCTTTCACAGAACTGTGCAGCTGAAGACCTAATAAACACAGATCAGGTACAACTTTTGAGACTTCTAGAAGGTATTAAAACTTCAAGTACCAAACACATATCCTTTAGCTTAAACCTAAAAGGCTTGTTTTGGGCTTTTTGTTCCAATGCATGGCTATCAGGTGCATCATGTGTAACTTGGCAGCTTGGAGGGGAGTGACTGGCCCTTCCAAAAGGGACAAAGTTTGTGCTTTCCTAGTTTCTACATTGCAGGGAACTAGTGTATTCCTTCATCTCTCATGAACTCTTCAGTCTAAAAAGTTCTGCTGATTTCAATTTTATTTTTAAGTCATAAAACTCATATTGCATTTAAAGATACTGAGGTGATTTTTGCAGGAGGGGAAACAGATACTTTTATTTCAGTAGGAACCACTCCTTGTTTAAAAATATGTTACTTCAGTTTAGTGCCTTTATTAAACTGGAGTTGCCTCTGGTACCACTTATATTAGTGGTGGTAGGCCAGTCTGTCCCTGTCTGTTCTCTAATAGTTCACCTTGTACTTGTTAACTTTTGCAGCTTAAATCCTCTCTTGTTAATATATTTTCATGTGGGAAATTCTGACAACTCCATAAGGAATCCCAGAACACTGCCATGAAAGGAATCCAGTACAACTTGACTTGACAGATCCAGTTTTCAGGCAGTGCCTTGAATTCCCTGCTCTCTGCCACCTTTTCCAGGTGGAGGTGACACTTGGCTTGGTACTGAAGCTAAGAGGGGGTGCTGAAGGTGAACTCAGCTGCCAGCTGTACAGAGGGCATTCAGAAAAGGTGTTCAGGGCACACGAGTTAACTTTCTGCTTTACCATGATCTGTGAACAAACTACCTTTTTACCTCACTAAACTAGCCCTTGTGTGTGCCAGGAGGTAAAAACCTAGATTTCTGAAGGTAGAGTCAAAATACTTTGAAAATAATCTTCATATTCACTTCAGAATAGCTCTGCAGCCAGGCTTGTTTTGTGTTTCTTGTCTATTAACTCTTAACAATTTCAGGAGATGACTTTGCAGCCAAGGAAGGAAAAGGAAACTGGAGGGAAGACTGTGCATTACATTTGCAACAAAAAATGCTGCCTTGGTACCTTGATCAATTAAGAAGAAGTTATTTTAGATGATGTTCAGGTTATGCAAAGTAACTCCACAAAGTTCATGCATTTGTTAGAAATTAAAACAGTACAACCACATTTATGATTTCAGAGCATACATGTGAACTGTACTGGTACAGTTACTGGCTTTAACATATACTTGGAGTTGATCTAGTGCAATTCTAAGATCTAGTGCAGATCTAGTACAGGCCCTTCCAGATAGAGCAAATAAAGAGGTTTTGGGGCATAATGCAATTCCTTCCAGCTATATAGCTGAGGAGCAGAGTTTCTCCTACTTTCTGTTTCAATTGGCACCTCCTGCTCTGAACTCTGACATGGAAGGTGTTGGTCCTTGTTTTATTAAACCTGCTTAAATTATTTTAAATACTAGGTGGTAATACAAAACCTACCCATACCCAAAAATATTCTATAGGCAAATATAAAACTTGTATCGTGGAAAATTGAAAGCATGACAGGGAAGTTTGAAAAACCTCCTCAATGTGTAAGAAACACATCCCTGTCCCAGAAGCCTACTTCTTGCTTGACCTTATTAAATTCTGTGGCTGATGAACGTACCTGAACCTGCTGATCCTCTCCTTGTCCAGGACTGATTGCTATAATCAATAACCGTGCAAGAACGGCGGTGCTGTGGGTCTGGCTGAAAAGACAGTTCAGGTTATTTATCTTTGCATGAAAAATGCTGAACATCAAGATTGTAAGACAAACTACTTCAACACATAACACATTTCCTCATTCGTAAGATGTTCCAAAAGTCCAAGCAGAGCTTTTACAAATTTAACTTTAGGTTAAATCAACGTCAAGTTAATCTCCTACAGACTAAAAAAATACACTTTTGTAACACTCTTAGAATGTGAAAAGCAATTAACTGGGCCACCCAAATGCATTCTCATCACTTCTGGAAATTGTTCTGTTTCAAAATAGCTTTTAGAAAGTTTGTACACTGAACTGGCAAGGATGTTGACATGATACACAAACCAAATCGGCAGCTATTCAAAAGCTACAGTTGATATGACAGCTTTTGAAGCTCAGATAAAAAGACTTTGTTAGATAGGACTAGACACCAGTTCAGTAGGTGTTCCAGTAAATTAAACCAAGAGCATTTGATGCTGAAACAGGCTGGATGTTAGTGCAGCAAAAAAAGCCATGAAGCCTCTGCTGCCTTTGTGTTTCTGAATTTAGCTGCAGGAGTGACCCCTTAATCTGTGCAGAACTTTAAGTCTTCTCTCCTACCCCCCAGGTCTTCTTCAGCCTTCACAGATTACCAGTGCAGATGGCAAGACTGCATGTCATACCTATAATACTACTTATTCCACAAGTGTCTCACACTTGCAGGTGTTGTCAGGGCACCCTCTTCAGTAGCTAAGGATGATTGGGAATAATTAGTCATGCTTTACCAAGAAGGCAGTGGTTGTGTTGGGCCTGGAAAGGTGATCAGGCAAGATGAGCAGCTGCTGGTGGGGATCTTCTTGGGTTGTCACACTGTGAGCCTGACTGGAGCTCCTTCGAGATTTCTGCATCAGAGTAAAAACACAGGACTTTTTTTTGCTGCAGCAGGACATTTAAAATAATGAGCCTAGGAATGAAAGTTCATTTTCCCAAGTTCATCTGTCCACCTCTGCTTACGGGGAGGAAAACATTCTGGCACTGACTGGAATTAAAGCATTCAACTCTGGGTGATACTGTGAGTAAAAATTGATACCACAGGTTTTGTGCATCTGTTTCAGCTGCTGCCGCTGGCAAGGTAACAAGTCTGAACCCCTGGGTTTGGCAATGTGATCAGCAGTGATAACAACTTCAGACTGTTCAAGAATGAAATTAAATTCTTGTGCCTGTTACCGTTTGCCTCTGGGATCCTGCAGTGCTCCCATGCTCTGCCCCAGAGCTGGTGGGGATGGGTGGCAGGAGGGTATTTCTGTTCAGCAGCAGTGGTGAGGGTGAGGTGAGCTGCTCCTGTGCAGTCAGACTGAAATGCACCAATAAGAACAGGAAAAAAAAAAGAAAATATTCAGTTTCTGTGTTTGGCAGCATGTAAAGGCACCTACGATATTGTCAGTTTATTTGTAGAAAAACCAGGTCAAAAATAAGTTGCAGAAGTTGGCTGAAAGGTGCTGGTGTTAGGGCTGATTGTTTGAGAGCAGGTGTAAAAGAGCTCTGCAGAGGGGTGAAGTTTGGCAGGAATCTTTTTCCATCTATGAACACAAATGTCTAGTTCTCATAGTGTTTCATATGAAGCATATAGGCAAAGTGAGGAGGAGCTCCCCAGCAGAAGTCCTGGTAATGGGGGTATGTGGGAGCTACTTGTGGCTCAAAGGCATCTTGTCCAGTGCATTTTGAAGGAGGGTGCTGAGCAGAGGGCACTGGAGAACAAAGGTGTGTTCGTGTAGAAATGGCAGAGTCTTGTCTGCCCATTCCCAGACATGGAATTATGGTCTGCTCTTTGCTCACACCCTTTAGGAAGAAGGACTCCTCAGTGCTAACTTCAGCCTAGCAACTGAAGAGAGCAGAGAGTGAGCCCCTCTAGGCAAACAGCAGCATGGCCGTATCTTAAGCAGAGCAAGTAAAAAAACTACATCCTGCAAATGCACCTTGTGGCTCTCTCTTATTACAGGCATAAAATAAATTGTCTGGGTAAAACAAGGCTTCTGTCTTCTCCCTATTTTGTTTGAGCATTTGAAGGAACAGGTGCAAGAGACTTTTAGAAGCCTCAAGGCAGCTAAACCAATCTCAAGTGCACAAAATACAAAATTAATTCAGCATTGGTCACAGGAGGAATGTAAAAGGCTTGAGTTCTATTTTCTAGATCCAGGCTTTTCGTATGAAAGCCTTTTCAGGTGGAAGGTGTCTCTATATTACTGTGTGTTTGAGAAGTGCTGCAAATGGTCAAGAGGGCTTAGCTCTGTACCTGTTCTGGAGCTAACTGAATTCTGTAATACATGAGAAAACCTTCAGACTATACTCAGCATCTTAAAAAAGACTTCCCTTGTGCTCTCTACATACATTCAGACATATATGGTAATAAAGGGTAGATGTTGATGACTGTGTAAATTGAAACTTGAAAGGGAACATAAAAGTATTGCAAGTAGAAACATCAGTTGTGAGGGGCCAAGGAACAAGTTTCCAAACAGGGCATGACAAAAAATAACAGCCTGGATGAGTTTACAGGAAAACTGCAAAACTAACCTGTCAATTTAAAACACATGTGGAATATAAAAGTATATTAAACCCTGCATTGTTTCCTAATAGCCTGTAGCCCCTGGAAATCACTGCGTTTAGTCAGATCCATTAAGCCAAACAACAGTAAGATATTCTAGATGTGACTGTGGGTTCACTGAGTTAATGAAGAGTCCTTTGGTCAGTCCTAATCTATCTCAGATCAGCACCTTCCTTAGTGCCCAGTCTGGACTGGGACAGCAACAGGCCCTTTGACCTCCAAAACCAGCAGGCTTTGAAATTAACCTTGAAAACAGGTGATAGAAAAAGCAAGCTGGTGGCAAGAAGGAGATGGTGGCATCTGCTTTGTTGGTGCTGGACAGGCTGAGGTCTATAGTCTGTGTGCAAAACTCCCTGGATATGCATGTGAGTCATGGAATTGATGCTTGTGGCAGAGGAAAGATCAGCTCCAGCAGCTCTGCTTTCTCAGGGGAGATGGTGCTTGAAGGGGCAGCTCATTTCTTTAATCAAATTGTGTTCTTATATAATATAACCTATGTAACTTGCAGTGAGGAACTGCCTGGAGAACATACAGTCGGGTTCCTCTGAAGAGCTCGTCCACAGACCCCGGGGTCCCCGTGCGAGAGGGGCTGGTGTGGATGGGGTGCAGGGTCCGTGGTGGTGGGTTCCACCTCCTGGTGGGTCGTGACAGGGATGATGTGCTGAGCTCCAGGGGACGATTTGGCCACGCCCTGGTGGAGAGGGTGGAACTGGAGCCTGGCCGTCTGTCATCCAGCTCCCTAAGACAGGAATTACAACACCAGAAGAGGGAAGAGTCAGCATGACTGGTAGCTACCCTGCCCTCATCTACAGAGTGACAGTAACAGTGTGGAGAGAGATGATGGGTTCTAATTTTTTAACATAATTATGTTAACTCATTTACAGCCACATTAGGAAACAGTAGGGGATGGAAAAGAAAAAATAAGCCTTTTTCTTTTTACTAAACTATGAACTGTGAAGGCTGCAGTATAAAAGTAAAAATAAATCATTGCAATAAAAGTTAAAATAAATCATTGCAATACAGATAAAAAAAACCTCTAAACACCAGTTTTCACACCCATAGCCCAGATCTAACCCAAGTACCCTTCTAGGAACTGAGCAAGTCAGTTTCTCTGCCCCCTTCTGAGCTTAATCTCTTTCCATGACACCAGTGAGTGCCAAAATGCCACAGCTATTTCCTGAGTGCTAAACCAGCAGCAATCAAACAGCAAACCTGCACTAGGAGTCTACTTGTTTCATAGAGGACAAATAAACATAGAAACAAGCAGGAAAAGAATGGAGAGCTGCTTTTTCCAGTGTAGGAAGTGACCTCACAATGGCTTGGGTTGAATCCCTTTCACTGTGAGCGTGCTCTACTTTACAACAATCTGTCATTCTTACAGTGTTTTCTCCACTACAGGCAGATTCCTTTGCTGTAACTGGATCCCATGAATCACCATCAAGCCATTTAGATTGTGTTGAGAGCCACTACTTGACCCTTGGGAGACATTCACCTGGAAGTTTAAAAAATAACCAAGTGAATTACTGTTTGGCAGAGACATGCACATATACATACAGATTTTGTCCTTGTAAATCATTTGGAGGAAAGAAATTAATTTCTTCCACAACACCCAGATCCACACTCAGTTAGATTATTTCCCCATTTAAGACCAGCATCTTTAGCATTCCATTTTCCCTGCAAATGGTGGTGCTTACAAACTGTACCCCACCATGCTGTGCCATACTCGATGTTTTCCAACTGAGCTTCTCATTTGGCACGACAGCACCTTCCAGCCATGGCTACAATCAGAAGCTTTTCAAAACTCATTTTCCACGTAGGCTGACATTTTATGTCAAGACCAGAACTGCCAGCTCCTTCCCTGGAATACAGGCTGATCTGGCAAAACATCAAATTCCACCCTCCATAAGGACAGCAAACAGAAAATACCAGCTTCCATCTCTCCAGTGTACATACTTGATGTGCTTTTCTCCTCTTTTTGCTTTTGCGGCCACATCTGGTTTTTGGGCACTACACACACAGTGAAGGGGAACACGAGGAGGAGGCAGGGGTGGAAATAAAGGAGAAAGAAAGAAATGAGAAGGGAAGAGCTGAATTAAAACAGAACAAACAGATACTGCTGTGGTGCTCACCACTTTAGGAGCAGATCACCTAAAGCAGGTTTTAAACAGTAAAATTCCGTGTCTGAGAAAAAAAACCAACCCTGTTTTGCAACTGCCCTGAGGTATTTGTCCTCTGTTGTCTGATGAGTTAGCTATGGATACACTGGTGAGAACAGGATCTCACCCCCACACAGTGCTCCATCTCACAATTTGGGTCAAACAATATTGAAATGCAGAAAGTACGAGGTCACGACTCAACAGCCACCACGTGGTTGTCGAGCGCGTGTCTAGAATATTAAGTTTTAAAGAGGAAAGCAAGATTTAAAACTTGCCACTGAGGAATAACAGAACCTTAAAAGTGTCAGAAAGGACAGTCAGCACTGACACATCATCCAAGCTAGTTACGTGTCTGCACAGTCTCCTGCTGCAATCCAGGCTGCTTTGCTTAGGTAACGCTGTATTGATCTGTCCCCACACAAACCAGCTGGCTAAAAATACTTACCACATCTGCTGTCACTGGGGGCATTTTCGTGTGTGGCACAAGAGGCAACAAGGCTGGCAGAGGATCAAACTGCAGAGGGCTTCCAGCATCTGCTCTGATCGTTTCTACTGTTACAATGTTTTTCTCATCATCTATGCAAAGCAAGAGAGAATTCCTGTAAATACAGACTGTTGGCGTTGCTGGTTGTGGACAGTCCTACAAATCCACATTTTTTTTAAGGAGAGCCCTCTTAGGTGCTAAGCTCTATTAAATCTTTTGAAGGCATGTCTTGCACTGTCATCAAAACCACCTTTTGTCTCCCCAAAGAGATTATTCCCAAATAAATCTCTCTCTCTTACTGCGTCCTTGCCAAGTTAAGTCACTGAAATTCCGTTTCACGTCTTCAATAGATCTGTGATCCTTACCAGAGCCTGACCCTTCCCAGTGTCTGCAGATTAATTCTTCCATGCAGCCTAAGACTTCACTCCACACATCATCAAACACAAATGTGAGCACAGAATCCTTCATGCAGGAATATGGAGAGACAGGAGGAAAACCCAATTTCCGTCTACCAGAGGAGAGCCCCATTTTCCTCTCATGCAACTCCTCCTCCCTGTAAAAACATGAGCATGACCATGAACACCTTTTCTTTGTCTCCTGTATATTGTTGCATTTAATGACTAGGAGTCAGACATCAGCTGAGGCTGCATTTCTGTTCTGCTTTCTCTTCAACTGAAGAAGGTCAAGGCAGCTGCCAAAACTTCAGACCTTACCTTCAGGAGTTTTGTATTTCTCACACAATATTGTCTTCTGAGAGCTGATAGTTTAATAGGCAGCAGCTTCAAGTAACAGTCTAAAGAAGCAAGTTTCTGCCCCTTGGGCACCTGAACTTTTGTCTCCTCCAGAATCTACCCCTGACCTAAATGAGAAAGGACTGAGACAATCACCTTATCACTGCACACCTTGGTTTCCACATACAGAGTGATAACTTCATGAATGAGACATAATTTACCAAGGAGATCAAAGTTCCATTTTAAAACAAACAGCAGTGGTTACAGTGGGATTTGTTCATCACACTGTTAGGCTCCAAATCTAACATCACTACAGAATTCTGAAGACAAGAGAGAGGAATGTCACCACTCCTGCCTGTTTAATGCCACCCTCAGCATGCTGCTCTCCCAGTCAGGAGGTGTTCAGGGCTTGATTCAGTTTCAGACAATTAGAAGAAATCAATCAGAGGGGAGAAAAACCAGAAATCACAGCAGCAAGTGGCCTCTGGACTCTTCCACCATGCTAGAGGTATTCTGAAGTGTGAAATCTGGAACGCCACTGCTCAAAAAAAATTATGTTCATCTGCCAAAAGAAACTACACAGAAGGGAGAAAATAATACAGATGCAAGCACAGTTATTCTGGCTTTCATATCTGCTCCTGAATTAGTACTGAACATCAAAAAAGCTACAGAAAAAAAAGAGATACCACTAGAAAAAGCTCTGATTCTTCAACCATGATTACCCAGGCCATATGTTCATATTGTTGGGTTGAATAAAGTAAAGGGGCAAAAAGAATCCTCTTTATACCACCCTTAATCCTTTCTTCTTAAGATGGAAATAGTGGCATTTTTTTCCTGGTAAACGTCCAATCCATTCTAATTCTTAAATTACCTCTGAAAACCTGATATGATTTAAGCCTAAATGCTAGTAGATAATCACAGCAGCACACTGCTAGTGCATAAGAAAAAAGGATTAATTTGACTTAGTATAAAAAATAAATGGGTTTATTAAATATGTCAATATATAGCAGGCTCTTAGTTATGATGGAACGAACTATTTAAACCAGGCACAAAAATGACTAGTAAGACAGATGACCAAAGAAAATTCAGAAAAACCATTTGGCAAAATAAAATTGCCCTAGGAAATGGACTGGGAGAAGTCCCAGCAACCTCAGGCTTTTGGAAGTTCTCTAGAAGAAAGAGAAAAAGGGATAAAGTAATCAAAGACCTTATCAACCAACATTGAAACCAAATATATAGATAGATGTATATCTAACAGCAGAAATCCCAGGACACTGGTACTAGCTGCTGTCTTAGTATTCGATACCTACACATCTCTGTGGTCAAATGCAAAATATTCCTCCACGATGCCTTCAGAGACAATCACTCCATCTTCACCTTCCTCACTCTCTGGAGAGCACAAGGTTGGGGACGTGGAGCGGGTTGCCCTTTTGTGAAGGGGGGTAACTGAAAGAGGCACCTTCTTGCCAAAAACACTAATTCTGAACAGGGGAAGAGTTTCCAGAAAGCAGAAAGAAAAAGCAGTCGTTATTCCACTTCAAACAGCAGCACTTGGGTGAGCTGAGAGGCAACAGGGGGGTTGAGGTCAAGCAAGGGAGGGGCAGTTAATTCTGTATTACAGCAAAAGCTCTTTTGGTTTGGCTATTTTTCATTCTTGCTAAGAAACCTGACACTTCAGGAAAAAAAATAATATTCAAAGCTAATTAAAACACATTCTAAGACATTCAATAGTAAAAGCAGTACTATCGTAGTGCTTTGTGCTTTCTGAACTTCTGTAGAAACTGAGCAGATGATGAAAAATAAATAGAACCAGCTACAACAGATAGATTTTCAGAAGTCAGCAGCAGCAGCACAGGCTTCCTATTTCAGGAACCCTATCCCTGCAGTCCACTGGGAACACAATAACCTTCCCACCTTGGTAGGGTCTGGATGAACCACTGGTACTTACTCATTGGAATCTTTTTCTCGTGGTGAACTTACGTCTGTGGACACCGAACTACCAGAAGGTGAACCTGAATACCAGCCATACCCTTCATCCGTGGGGATCACAATCTGCCTCCCCACAACCCTGCCAAGGCAAAGGGTCACTGAATCAGAACATGCTGGAAGTCAGATTGCTGAACTCTGTGAGATTACAAACACACAGCAGCACATCCTAAAAGTTCTGTCGGGAAGCTCTGCAGCTCCCTGGGTGATGGTCAGGGTGGGTTTGGTTGTTGCCTCTCAGAGATTGCTGCCAGTCAGGGAAATACAGCAAGAAAATCTTGCTTGTTTTTTTAGGCTCTGCTCATTGTAAGACTTCCTAGAACCACACAGCATAGAACCATAAACTGGTTTGGATTGGAAGGGACCTTAAAGATCATCCAGTTCCAACCCCCTGCCATGGGCAGGGACACCTCCCACCAGCCCAGGTTGCTCCAAGCCCCATCCAACCTGCCCTTCAACACTGCCAGGGATGGGGCAGCCACAGCTTCCCTGGGCAACCTGGGCCAGGCTCTCACCACCTTCAGAGTGAAGAATTTCTTCCTTCCTAACACTTTTCCATATGGAACAAAAGTGTTCAAGTACAGGCAATGAAGGTTAAAATGTAAGATTCCAGACAGCCACTGGTACTGCTGAGCTGGGGTAGGAGGATTTTTAATTTACCTGAATCACCTGGCTTTAAGCTCTACCATACACCTATTCTAAGAGAATTTTGCTATGTTAAGGCCAAGTCAGTTGCAAACAGCAACAATCCTCTGGCAAGGAAACAAATGTGAGACAGCAGAATGCTTCTTAGTGACAACAACAGGCAGAACACCAGAGTCATCTCTTTATCTCTACCATTTAACTGCATAAAACCGACATTTTAAAAGCAAAGGTTTCCATCCCCACCCTTTCATCACCCTGTGATGGCTCTAGCATTAGTCTGTTAACCAAATACCTGAGGTGAGGGAAGTGGGATGCCCACTGCTGGCATTCCTCCCTGAGTCCCTCAGCATGCACACTGTCCTTCTGCTCGTAGAGAAACTCATCAATGTCTCTGAACATCTGCTCAACTTGTTGTGTGGCAGCTTTATCAAACTCCTAGAAAAGAAAGTCATCCAATATATACCTAGTGAGTAGCATTTTTTTGACTGATTCTTTTTTATAATTGAAAAAGACAATAGTTTGTTTTAAGCTTAGTGGAACTGGTTTAAAGTTTCTTTATTTTGCATAGCAAGACATTTAACTTCAAGGAATTTCCCCCCCAAGAGATGATGCAGGGCTCTGTTTGGACTGATGGCAGCTACTGACACAACATAAAAATGACTAAAGCATTTAGAAATACCTGTCATATTATATTGAGTTAAAACCAGTGATTTATATAAATCAGAACAGGAGAGATAAAATTTGGCGACATTTTAGTGAGATGGAAAATGTGTTGCTTGCCATGTCCACAGAAAAACAGCAAAACAAAAAGCAATGCAGACTGAAATGTTCAGGATCTTTGTTCCTTGGTAGCAAGAAAACAGGGTAAGTTTGTGGGTCATTTAAATTTGAACAGTTCCATCTCACCTCACAGAAAGCAGGAACATATTTTTTCCTGGTAGATGGGGAATAAACCAACTATTGCTAAATTAAAATCATGTTTATGGGGCTCACTATCTTTTTGAGAAAATTACAAGTATGAAGAGGTTTGCTAAAGTCACACCAAGTGTCTGAAAGGCATCCCTTCATCTTTGGGATTCCACAACAATAGCATTTCTTATCTTGTGTAGACAGACCCATGCATTAAATTATTTGCATGTCCAAAATTTTAGATGGAAATGCAGAAAATTAACTGGCAAATATAAGCCTCACACAATTCGATCTGCCAGAAAGGAAAGATAGGGAAA